GGACACATAGGAGATGTCAAAGTTTTAGGTAATGTTCTGTTTTTTTAAAGTTGATGATAGCTATCTGGGTATCATTTTATAATTATTATTTATATATTATGCTATGTTACCTATACATATTCTTTTGAATAAATAAAATATTTTTTTAAATAAGAGGAATAGTTTGTAAACTTTACTATCAATCCTTTAAACCTAAATCTTTCTGGACTTTGTATATGAATGAATCTACTACATATTCAGATATATATCATCAAAATATATAGAGAAAAAATAAAAGAACCAAATTTATGGTTAAAAGCCTCAATAATTTCAAAATAAATTTCCAAAAGTGACTCACTCTCACCTGAACTACTACAATTACCTGCTAACTGGTCTCTCTACTTCACTCTTGTCCTGATGCTGTACCTAACTATCTCTTTAAGGGAATGTAATATCACTCCAGAGATTTTTCCCATCACATTGCCATGGGCTCACATGCTCTGACCCCTGCTTACTTCTGGGACCTGATTTTATTCCTCTCTTCCCACATGCCCCAGCCATAGAACAAATCCTAACATTCTCCAGCATTAATGTCTATAATGCTAATGTGTACATTTAATGAAATCTTGGCATCTTTCATTGACAGCACATCGTGAGTATTTCCCAGCTTTCCATTTGTTCTGGGGAATTTGGGGATGTTGATTTGTGGTTCTGCTTTATCATGATTTCACTTGACTCTTTCCTTCATCTTTAATATCTACTACATCAGAAGTCCTGTCAGTTCTACTTTCAAAATAAATATATCCTGAATCTGTTCCCTTCTTTCCATCTCTCCTGCTACCACTCTAGTCCATCTATCATCTCTTTTTTTTTTTTTTTTTGCGGTACGCGGGCCTCTAACTGTTGTGGCCTCTCCCGTTGCGGAGCACAGGCTCCAGACGCACAGGCTCAGCGGCCATGGCTCACGGGCCCAGCCGCTCCGCGGCATGTGGGATCCTAACGGACCGGGGCACAAATCCGCGTCCCCTGCATCGGCAGGCGGACTCTCAGCCACTGCGTCACTAGGGAAGCCCCCATCTATCATCTCTTATCTGGACCAATGCAACAGCCACCATCTCCTTGTTTCCATTCTTGTGCCACTGCAGTACACTATAGCCACAATGACCTTATTATAACAAATTAGATCACGTTACACTCCTTCTTCAAAGTGTCCTATGGCTTCCCATCACAACAGAATAAAATCCAAAATTCCTTATGCCCGATGTGACTTGGTCCCAGCCTACCTTGGCAAGTTCACTTCCCTCATGCACACTAAAGAATCACACTAGCCTTCTCATAATTTTAGAATAATCCAACGTTGTGATTGCCTTAGGGACCCCAAATTGGAGCATCCCTCTGCCTAGACTACTCTAACCTTAGTTCATGCAGATTGGCTCATCCTCATCATTCAGGGCTCAGTTCAAACTCCACTCTTCAGAGAGGCCTTTCCTGACCATCTGGGTACAGTAGGGCTCTCAACCACTCACTGTCGAGCACATCACTCTGTTTTCTCTTCTTCCCAGCACTTTATCACTACCTGAAAATCTTATTTTTAAAATCTATGTATTGTCTATCTCTCCCAACACGTGAGGACCTTGTTCCCTGTCCATTGTTATACCCTATGCTGAAATAGCTGCCAGCACATTGTAGATGAAAATAATTACATGTTGAATGAATGACCTCTTGTGGCCTTGGTTCAAATTTCTTTGTCTCTGAACAAATGTTCAGGTTTAATAACCAGAGTGTTTTATACATTTATTCTGTTATGCCTCTTTAAACGACGTATGTGAACAAAAAGCATTTTATTAAGTTCTGAACTCACATGTCCTCTTTTCTGTCTTTAGAGTATCATGGCAAGGACGGTTAAGTATTCTCTAAACATCACACAGACACAGAATGAAAAAAAAAAAAAGAACTAATGTTTGTTTTATGCCCCAAATTAAGAGAAGTCATTTCCAAATCTTAACCTAGGGATATCGGTTCATGACATTTTACCTTCAACAAGAAAATATCTACTTTATAGGTAGAACTGTTAGGGATTAAAGTTTTTGTTGTTTGTTTGTGAATAAAAGAATATTGATTGATTGATTGATTCCCATAGGTTTATTTTTTATTTTATTTTTTAACATCTTTATTGGAGTATAATTGCTTTACAATGGTTAGTTTCTGCTTTATAACAAGGGATTAAAGTTTTTTAAAAGTTATTTCTTTTTATGAATATTGTGGTTTCCTACTTATTTAAAGAATGAAGACTAAATCTGATTCTATGTTAAAAGTACTTAGTTGCTGACAATAGAATCTGTACAACATTGTTTTTAGAATAGCCCATTCATTCAACATACATATGCATCCTTAGCACACTGCCTAAAATGTGGTTACTGCATATGTATGTTGAATGAATGAATGGACCTCTCTAAACACAAACGTTGGGAAGACAGGCAAACAACAATTCTAATATAGTGCCACAACTAGTGTATGCAGAGTAACGTGTTAGAAGAGGCAAGGCTATAACTTGCCTTGTCTCTTCTAACATGTTAGAAGATGGAGGGGTCAGGAAAAGTGTGTGAGTGGAGCTGTGATACCTGGGATGAGTCTTGAGATAAACAGATAAGAGGAAAGGAAGTGCGCTCCAGACAAAGTAAATTTTAAATGTAAAGGCACCCTGGCTTGAGCAAGTAGGCAACATGTCAGAAGTACAAGAGCAAATGTGGGGCTTCCCTGGTGGCGCAGTGGTTAAGAATCCATCTGCCATTGCAGGGGACACGGGTTGGAGCCCTGGTCCGGGAAGATCCCACATGCCACAGAGCAACTAAGCCCGTGCGCCACAACTACTGAGCCTGCATGCCGCAACTAATGAAGCCCACACACCTAGAGCCCGTGCTCCACAACAAGAGAAGACATCACAATGAGAAGTCCGCGCACCACAACAAAGAGAAGTCCCCGCTCACCGCAACTAGAGAAATCCCGCAGGCAGCAACGAAGACCCAATGCAGCCAAAAATAATAAATAAGTTAATAAATTTTTTTTAAAAAGCACAGACTCTAAAAAAAAAAAAAGAAGCAAATGTGAAGGACGGGCAAAGGTGAGGCTGAAAATGTGGGCAAGATGCAGATAGTAAAGTGCCCTGTATACTACACTAAGGCATTCAGATTTTGTCCTATAAGGCACCTATACTGACCTCGAGGAATTTGTATTATGTAGCCTCGAGGTTATGAGATTTCTCTAGAGAAACGTTTTATTTTTAATTTGTTAAAAATCTAAATAAAAAAAAATTTTTGAACAAAAGGATACTCTGGATCACCTGGATGACTACCTTTTAATTGATTACAGTACTGTCACAAGATTTCAGTTCACACGTTTGTGTTTAGGACTGCACTGGCAAACAAGTGGTTTATCATTGGCACAGGTTTAATGAGAGACATGGAGACTTTTACATAAATGATATTTGTCAAGTGAAGGTCAAATGAAATCATGACACAATGAACAAAGGAAGATTTTTACACTGGTTTAAATAAAGAAAAGAGGTGAAGTCACTGAGTAATCTCTCAACACAAGGACAATGCGGACAGGCCTTTCTGTAAGGAATTTATGCCCTGGAGGACAGTGAAGGTTTACTTTTTAGAGCATGATAGGTCCAGCAAAAACAGTCTCATTGTTAACAATAAATAAGCATTCATCAGAATTTATTTGTTTTATAGTTTTGCTTCATTTAATGTACAACCATTTATACCGAACATATTTTAAGTTCACCATAGAGAATCCTAGGTATCTACTTAGGTTTGAGAAATTCTGCTCTTGGTGACGGGGAGCCACTGAAAGATTAAATAGGGAAATGACAGATTTGTGCTTTAGAAAAATCACTCTGGCAGCAGTGTGGAGGGTTGGAATTGAAAGTATTTAAGTAAGGCAGAAAGGAGGCTACTTAACATAATAATGTGGTAAAATGGTGAGGCCCTAAATTACTGGGGGGGGGGATATGAAGAGGAGATGGATAACAGAATCAAAAGCACTTGGTTAAGGGTGACAGAAAAGAGGGCATCTAGGATGACTGTCCCTTGGGTGACTTGGTGGTGAGATACAGACCACTAGGAGACAAACAAGTTGGGGTGAAGGGGAAGGAGAAAAAAAGAGGTGATCAATTCAATTCAGCAATGATTTGAATTTCATTTTCGCCAAAGAAAACCCAGTTATCTTTTCTGGGTTCGTTTTCTCAGTGACAGCTGCATTCATGAATTACCAAATTAACTATTATAGCGCTCTCTAAAAATATACAAAGCACTCCACAGTATGCTGTAAATAAGTCATGAAAAAATCAGCAAAAGCCCAGGCCCTAAAGGAAATTCAGCAGAGTTAAAAAGAGATATGACAAATTTTTCCTAAACACTTAAAACCAATGCACTCACCCAGTATTGTACTTTTTGCTCTGTCAGTCAAATGCAATCACTCCCTAGCCCAAGTCTGAACAAGAGGCCACGTGGGAGATGCAAAGACACCACCCTCAAGGCACTTAAAAGCAAAGCAAGGGCCCTCGTCTGGTGCATGATTACTGAAACCTTAGTGTGGTAGGAATGTCATATCCTCAATGACCCAGCCCTTGAGGATATGACAGGAACCTTGACCCTACAGGCAGGGCTAGTCACAAAGTTATCTTTTACTTAGAGGAATCAACGTGGAGTACCCTAGGCAGTTCAATAACAATGTAAATATTTCATATTTCATTCCCGATAAGAAGGGGAAAAAAAGGCGAGTAAGGACAATGCAGCAATTATCGCAAAACCAGCCTGCGTCTCTGCGGACCACAAAAGGGCGGGCCTCCGGGAAAATAATTCAACTCTAGTTTGGTGGGAATGCCAGCACCTTCACCACTAACTCATAATAACAAAAGCATAGTGTTTACGGACCCAAAAGGTTTAACCGTCCACCTCATCCACAACGTCCAACGCGTGACTGAAGGGAAAGCCGTGACTGAAGGGAAAGCGTACCTTTCTTTAGCACAGGACGCTGCCTTCGGGGGAGAGGGGCGGTAGCACACGACACCGCCACCCTCTCGGCGCCCGGTCAGGGCCTCTCAGAGCAAAAGTCGGGGGCTGAGAGACGTAAGGGTACCGGGGCGGCAAGGGACGCACCCCTGAATGCAGGGCTTGAACAGGTAACGGGGACCAAGAGGCTGCAGCACAGCGCCCCCAGAGTTCTCCCCTGGCGCCGCGTGCTGAGCCGAAAAGGCGCGCCAGCCCTACGGCGCAGCCTCCGCCGGGGCCAGAGGAGGCAAGGCCGGGCGGGGCCGCGGCCGGTTGGAGGCGGGGCCGGGGCAAGCGCTCGCTCCCCGCTGCCTTGTGGGGGTTGTAGTTCTGGACAGAAGTCAAGATCCCTCCGAGGGCACTGGGAACTACATTTCCCAGTGAGGGAACGGCTCCGGCGGACCGCGCGTTACGGTCGTCGCAGTGCCGGCCGCCGGGTCCGGAGTCGGAGAGCGTTTGAGGGGCCAGCCAGGAAGGGAGTTTCTTTTCCTTTCCAATTGCCCGGTCTCGGGCGGCGCCGGCTCTGCCTAACCTCGCCTCACTGCCGTGCGCCCCCGGCCCGGCTCCGGGTGTCAGCTTTTCCTGGGCCCCTCGGGGAGTTGGGGCCTGGAGGTTCGGAGGTAGCGGCCGCTGCCCGGCGCCGGAGTGAGGGGCGCACCCCTCTTGGGCCCTGCCAACTCCACCACCGGCCCGCACCTCCATGGGCCCAAGCCAGAAGCCCAACGTGTGCCGCAGGCTGAGTCGCCGGGCGCTGGGCTTCTTCTCTCGGGACGCGGGCGTGGTGCAGAGGACGAACCTGGGTATCCTGCGGGCGCTGGTGTGCCAGGTGACCGCCCGCCGGCCGGGAGCCGAACCAAGGGCAGCGGGGCGATTGGCGGAGGGTGGGGCTAGGGGTGGGAGTCAAGCTTCCGGCAGGGGTGCAGTTTTCACGCAATACAGCCCCGTTTTAAGATCACCCTTGATGGGCAGGGTGATCCAGGCCTTGAACCTGGAGGATTAGTAAATAGCCTTTAATAGAACCGGCACATGCTTTTAGTTTTAATTTTATGTCTTATTGCAGACAGTTCTTTTTTTCTAAAAATTGGTCACCCCACTTAAGCCAAAACGTGAAGGCAGAGTGAGGAAGAATTGAACATAATGTTTTTTTAAGAACGTACATGAAATTACTTTGAAAACTGTAAATGTAACTATCCAACTTAAAATTGGTGCACAGTAGAAACTTAGGAGTTATTTACTAAATCGAAATTCCTTGTGTCTTTCAGGAAAGTACTAAGTTTAAGAATGTTTGGACGACTCATTCCAAGTCACCTATAGCCTATGAGAGAGGAAGAATATATTTTGACAACTATCGGTGCTGTGTCAGCAGGTATCTTTTTGGTGAAAGTTTTTGCTGTAATTCATTTGACTGTTGCTCTTAACTCTAATTTTTATAGAAACACATGCCTACATTAGTGCTTAGTGAAATAGGAGAATGGAGAAATCGGTCCAAAATAAGGGTAGGGGGTAAAATGCATGTAATTTTAAAATCTTGTTAAATCTAAAGTTTGAGGTTTTATCCTTGTAAACACCAACTTAAAGCAAATTTATATTGCAGGCAAAATGACAGTTTGCTGAGTACAATGTAGTATTTTATTCTGCTTAAAAGATACCAGAGTCAAGAGATCCAGGTACCTACTAATTAGATGATGTTTTAGAGAAGACTTTCTGTGTTTTGTTTTGAAACTGCTTGCCTTTGTTTTAGAAGGAAATTTTCAAACTTGCTCAAGTAGAGAATAGCATAGTGAACCCCATATATTCATTACCTGGATTCAAAAAGGATCAAGATTTTGCCATTTGCTTATCTTTTCCCACCCCCTTTTCCTTTATTCCTTTGCTAAATATTTTAAAGCATATTCCAAACATCATGCCGTACTTAAGTTTGCTTCTCTAAAAAAATATGGCTATTTTCTTTTTCTTTTTTAAGAAAGAATTCACCATTTTAAAGTGTACGATGCAATGATTTTTACTTCCTTGAAATTCAATGAAAATGAATTTGATGAACCACTGATGGTTCATATAGACATCACTACAGTTAATTTTAGAACATTTTCATTACCTCAAAAAGAAACACTGTACCCTTTAGCTATCACCAGGATACCTTCATCACCCTCAGCCCTATGCACCTGCTAGTCTACTTTCTGTCTCTATAGATTCATCTGTTTTGGACATTTCAAAAAATTGAATCACATAATATGGATTTTTGTGTGTGACTGGCTTCTTAGTAGATTACCAGTTTATTATAAAAGTTTATAACTCAGGAACAACCAGATGGAAGAGATGCATAGGGCAGTGTATATGGGAAGGAGTGCAGAGCTTCTATGCTCTCTGAGCCTGCCACTCTTCCTGAATCTCCATGTGTTCACCAACCCCAAAACACCTCTCCTTTTCTAATATATATATTTAATGCCATACATTTCCCTCTAAGGACTGTTTTTGCTGCATCCCACAAATGTTGATACACTGTATATTCATTTTAAAATTTGAGAGCTTCTTTGATCCTTGTGTTAATTATAAATGTGTCATTTAATCTCCAAATATTTTGAGATTTTCCAGCTATCTTTCTGTTATTGATCTCTAATCTAATTCCACTGTGTTCTGAGAGCATATTTTATATTATTTCTAGTTTTTTTAATTTGTTGAAGTGTACTTTATGGCCCAGAGTGTGGTCTATCTTGGTGAATGTTTCACGTGGGCTTGAGAAGAATGTGTATTCCCTTGTTGGATGAAGTACTCTAAAGATGTCAGTTGGACCCAGCTGATTGATGGTACTGTTCAGTTCAACTATATCCTTATGGACTCTGCTTGTTGGATCTGTCAGTTACTGATAGAGGTTGTTTTGAAGTCTCTTAACTATATTAGTGGATTTGTCTATTTCTCCTTGTGTTCTATAAGTTTTTGTCTCACATATTTTGACATTCTGTTGTTAGATGCATACACATTAATGCCACTCTTTATCCCTGATAATTTTCCTTGTCAAAGTCTGCTGTGTCTGAAATTAATATGGCTACTCCAGCTTTCTTTGTTTCTTTGTCTTTTATTCTTTTTCTGCCTTCTCTGATTTTAACTGAGCATCCTATATGATTACATTTTCTCTCCACTTTAACATATCAATTATATTTCTTTTTTAAACTTTTTAGTGGTTGCCTTGGAACTTGCAGTATACATTTACAACTAATCTAAGTCACTTTCAAGTCACTTTCTCCTACTCTCTTCATGAGTAGTGCAGCTACCTTATAACAGAGTGTTTCTAATTCCTCCCTCCTGTCTTTTATAATATTACTGTCATACATTTTACTTATCCATAAGCTATATTCATTGAATACCTTGTTGCTGAATACATTATTATAAACACATTTTTATCTGTTAAATCAATTAAGTATAAGAAAAACAATGGATTTTATTTTATCTTTATTTATTCCTTCTTTAACATTCTTCTTTTCTTTATGTAGATCTGAGTTTCTGACCTATATCATTTTTCTTCTCTCTGGAGAACTTCTTTGAGTTCTTAAGGCAGAACTTTCTTATAAGGCAGGTTCACTGACAACACATTCCCTCAATTTTTGTTTGTCTGAAAAAGTCTTATTTCTCCTCAACTTTTTAAGGATAACCTCTCAGGATACAGAATTCTAGGTTGGTGGAAGTTTGTTTTGTTTCATCACTTTAAATATTTCACTCCACTCTCTACTTGCTTGCATGGTTTCTGAAGAGAAGTCCAGTGTAATTCTTAACCTGTTCATCTGTAGGTAAGGTGATTTTTTTCCCTCTACCGTCTTTCAAGATGTTCTCTTTGTTTTTGATTTTCTACAGTTGGAATATGGTATGCCTAGGTATAGATTTTTTGGTATTTATCATGCTTGGTGTTCTGTAAGCTTCCTATGTATGTGGTTTGGTGTCTGTCATTAATTTTGGAAAATTTTCAGCCATTATTATTTCAGTATTTCTTCTGTTTTGTTCTCTTTCTTCTTCTGGTATTCCCATTATGTGTACATTACACATTTTCCAATTTCCCACAGTTCTTAAATGTTCTGTTCTGCTTTTTTCATTCTTTTTTCTTTCTAGTTTGGGAAGTTTCTGTTGACATATGTTCAAGATCACTGATTCTTTCCTCAACTGTGTCCAGTCTCCTGATAAGCCCATCAAAGACATTCTTCATTTGTATTATGGTGTTTTTGATTTCTAGCATTTCCTTTTGATTTTTCTTAGGATTTTTTTCTCTGTGATTAATTACTCATCTGTCCCTCCATGTCTCCACTTTTTCCATTAGAGTCCTTAGCATATTAGTCATATTTATTTTAAGTTCCCAATCTGATAATTCCGAAACCTCCACCATAACTTGTCTGGTCCTCACACTTGCTTTGTCTCTTTAAACTTCGTATTTTGCATTTTAGCATGCCTTGCAATTTTTTGTTGAAAGTTGTACATGATGTATTGGGTAAAAGGAATTGTAGTAAATAGGTCTTTAGAGTGAGATTAATATTTATCTGGCTAGGAGTTAGGCTATGTTTGTTGTTTGCTGTTGCTGTAGGTGTCAGAGCCTAAAATTTTCTCTGGTGTTCTTGTTTTTGTCTCCCCAGTACTGACTCCAGCGGCTTGCTCCTGGGTTTTTGCTTCTAGTAAGCTGTGATTCTTGGCATCCACCTCTCTCTCCAGTTTTGGGGGCAGCAATTTGCCCTCTGACCTCAATTATCTGATGTAACTTATAAGAGTTGTTGATTTTCAGTTTGCTTAGCTATTTTCTTGTTGTGAGGACATGACTGATGGACCAGAAACCAGAAGTTAGAGACAATGGTTTTTTAGGTAGTGTTTGAGATTTGTTCTGACCCTGGAGGGCTCCTCCCAGCAATCTTTTTCTGGTTCTCTCCAGCAAATTAGCCAGCCTACAGTTTAGCCTGTATGGCCAGTGAATCTACAGATCTCTACTCATTTGCCTTTCGTCACAGCCTCCACTGGTTGTGAGAGTGCTCTTAGGCTAGAACTTCTCATTCTGTTACAAATGAAGTCAGTTTCTCTGGGAAGAGACTTGGAGCTCTCTGCTTTATGGCCTGCTTCTCCGCCAGGCAAAATCTTCAAGCCAAGGCTCTCAAGCTGGTCGGGGGAGAGGGTCAGTGGAACTTTTGCCTCTGAATGACTCCCCTACTCTAGCTGAGCACATGGGGTTGGGGCAGACATTAGCC